AAAGCCTCCGGTCCCAACAAGCGGTCCCGTACCAAGCCGCCCTCTCACGCCGGGACCGCCCGAGCTCAGCCCGCCTCCTCTCCCCGGGCATCGAGCTGATTTTCGCCCTCTTCCCAGCACCCAGGGCTTCCTCCGAGGTACCCCCGCAGCCTCTGCCGAGGGACCGGAGAGCGCCTTAAGCTGCTGCAGAAATTGGACCACAGTTCTTGCTGCCTTCTTTCGCGGACTCCTCCATCTCTATCTTTCTCCTTCTTTAATTTATGACCTCTCAGCTCTTGTTGACAGTTTTCCACACTGCCTATATTGCAGAACTGCATTACAATATACGCCGAATCAGCCCAGGCGTCAGCCAGCGCAAATAAGAGTGGGTATTTGGTATTTCGCTGCTATTTAGTAATGCTCGGCTCCATCTGAGGATGACAACAAATGCACCTCGCCTCCGACTTATCCATGAGTTACAGCTTGAGATCCATTTTTCTTTTGTAATATCTTCAAGCTTACTAAAGCAAAGCACCTAAATAGCTACAGGAGATTTCCTCCTTGGCCTGGACTCTATGCAAACATTTAACTACTCCCTTTCGATAACTAAACCTCCTTTCCGCAGATGCTGGTCTTTTTTATTGCAGAAGCAGGAATGCTGAGAAATATTTATATATTTGTTAGTAAAAAGCTAGAAAATTAGCTCGAAACATGCTGTAAAAAATATTCGGTTACTTACCGATCATACCAGCTCAAGAAGCATGAGACCGATGTCAGGAGATTTTTGAGCCACTCGTGTGAAGGCTGGTGGAGGTGCACAGGCAGTAAGCTGGAAAAGAATCAGTTAGAGTCGGGCTTATTGTTAATGTCTCAAAACAATCCTCTCAGAGCCACCCCCGTCCAAGCCCCGAGCGCTCCCTGCCCCGGCCAGCCGGGTCGCCAGCCGGGTCGCCAGCCGGGTGACAGGCGAGGCAGAGCCGCTCCGCCGCCCTCCTCACGGAAACAGTGATCCCGTGGTGTGCATTAACCAGCGATACGGGCAGGAGCCGGAGCGCTGCTGGGCATGCCTGCAGCAGCCGGGCACCGATGAAGTGCCCTCCGAGCCGGTTTAATTTGTTCCTCTACCGGACCGGCACAAAACCCTTTGCCAAAGCAACCTCAGAGCCCATTCACATAGACTTTTGCCAATAAACTTCTGGGATCCATACTGTACCTGGTTTGAGATTATCCGATATTTAAGTTTTAACGAGTTTGTAGGGGGGTTTTGTTGTTAGGGTTTTTTTAATTTTTTTTTTAATGCAGATTTTACTGTAAGGCATCTGCTAAACACTTGCATTAACCTCTGCCTCCATGATAATTTTTCCCCCCTTGTTTTAATTACATTAGGGATGCGGAGGGGCAGCCAATCCTAAAAGAGGAGCTCGGCAATTAGCAGAGCGAACATCAAAAAGTTTTATTGCGGAGGGCGGCGGGCTCCGCCCCCGCCCCGGCCATTGGCGGCCGCCGCTTCTGACGACATATATTAACCCGAGCGGCCCTAAACATGTAGCTGTACATGGNACGCAGGGCGCAGCTAACGATACAGCCCCGATCCCGAAAAAATAAAAGAAAATAAATTCTAAACAGCGGGTAGAGGAAGAGAAAACCAGCCTCGGCACAGTCTCCACCGAAATTTCTTTATTATAGAGAGCTAGGAGAGTCCTGTTTGGCAGCAGAATCCAAATAAATCGCCGGCTAACATGCAACTATTTTGGCAGGGAAATAAAGTGACATAAGACTAAGGTTTCTTTTTCTTTTCTGGTTTTTTTTCCCTTTCTTTTTTTCCTTTTTTTTTTTAACCATATGATTTGTGCACCAAAAAATGTCTAATCAAATCGATAAGTGCAAGATTGGTATAAATGATGGTACTTTTAGTGGACTTTGAGCATAGTATCGGGAAAGATACTTTGAGCTGCAGCGTTTTTCAACGTTTTTCCCATCATGGGTTTGTGGTCTTTTCCAAACAGAAAAGGCTACAACCCATGATGGGAAATCCTGAGCATTTAAAAACTGAGGGAGGACAAGAGAGTTGCATTTGCTCTGAAACCTGCTTAATAAAACTCATAAATAAGTGCTGGGATAAGAGGGAAATATATATATAAGATCCTGCTGGGTGCTTTATCTAGAGATCCTCTTTCTCCAAAGTTAATTAAGCAATCACTACTCTAGCTTTGGAGACTGGTGTTCTGATCGATATCTCCTATGTATTTTATTACTTTTTCTCTGTCTCATGTTTTCCGTTTCCTTCATCATTAGAGATGCTATCAGAGCGGCCGTAGTGTCTTGTCACAGAGCCTGTCACAGTGGGAGTCTAACCTGCAGTGTGTCGCAAAGCTCGTACACAAGCAGGGAAAGTGTAAAGAAACACACGCCCGTTTGCAAGCCAGTATAACTTTCCGGTCTCGACAAGGTCCAGTTCTTCTTCCCATCAGGAACATATCGCAGCAAAACAAAGCTGGAGAACGGCTGTAGGGACGGGGTGGGTTTCCAGGCTGCGCCCTGCAGACATATCATCCCAAACGGCGGGGACACTCTGCCTGGCCGCTCCAGGGCTCTGCCTGCACGGTCTGCCCACGGCCTTCCTTACATTTAAAAATCCACACTGCAGACGCGTCTTTTCCTCGGGATAACACAATATATACACGTGTGCTTGTGCATATATAGATACAGATATCCATCAGCTGGCTACAAGCATATGTGTGTACGTATAAGATATATGTGTATATACATCAATTCTACATCTGGACTAGTTTTTCACTTTCGTACTCAGTTTACACCCAGACGCTCACGCATATGTGTATATGCTTATAAAAACCTACGCCTGCATGGGTGTGCTCCGTGCGCGCCTCCCCTCTGGGTCCGGCTCTGCGCTCCCCGTCCTGCCGAACCAGCACTGTCCCTCGTCTTTAGCATTCCCCCGAGGAAGCGGCCCCACATAGGGCAGCAG